GGGGCCTGTAGGTGAGTGCGGGAGTGGACAGAGCACTGGACCAGTCTGCCCATAATAGTGTGTCATTCGTCCTCGTTCTCACTGGACTAGTAATGGGATCAAGCTGGCTTTCCCAAACTGAGAGCTTGTTGTTGAAAGTAGCATCTTTGGAAACATTCGTAATATTATCTGTGACAGGCTGTATTTTTATCGTGTGCTGGGCGTTATACTGAGTGCTTCACACACGTAATGTCATTTTATCTTCAATAATCTCGGGAGGCAAGAACTTTTTTATTTGCCATTTTATATAGGAGGAAAATAAAATCGGGAAATCAGTAACAGCCCAGTGTCCCTCAGCTAGGATTCAAATTTCGGTCTCAACGCTGATGAGTATTATGCCTTTTCCACACTTCCAGCCATGTCTTCCTTCTCCGGCAAATGATTTAATTTCCCCTAGCTCGCATTCTTCAACTTCAAAATGGGGGTCATACGAAAAGCACCCCTCTCCCCCATCTTCACAGGTGTCCAAAGGATAAAATGTGCAGAAACATTTGGCAAACTCTAGAGTTTTGATTGTTCTTTGTCAAGTGCCCGGTAAATGTTTCTGTTTGTCATTCATGCTATTTCGTGTTGTAACAATTGTAGCTTCACTGAACACTAAAGCTTTTCTCTTAAAAGCATACATCCGTGGGTTTTTTCAGTATCCATGTTTTGACAGCTATTGAAGGGTTCAATTTGGGGTTTCTGTGATTTGCAAAATCACGCAAGAGTTCATGTTTGATATATTTTCTAGGGGTATCTGTCACTTTCTTTTCTAGCAGCAGGGAGAACAGTCTGGTGTGGTAAGTTGGTGTATAAAGGTTTGATACGTGTCTTCTTTCATCTTCCGCCGATCGCCTTGGTGTTACGTGCGGCGCGCACACCGTGACCCTTCAGATGCCAGCCCGAAGCTCGGGTGGGTCTGCGGGTGATTTAAAGCGATAACTGGACATCCGCGATCATCCAGCAGGCACAGGTCCCCCCGAAGCGGCTCAGAATCCTTGGTCGTGCTCCGGGACACTCATGTCCCTGTTCTCAGAGGGCTTAGCGTCATGTATAACCAGCTCCCAGCTTTCTGCCCCCCACTCCC